GATCTGGTGAACTGAAAAGTGACCTGAGATGACATGATGTGAATTGGAGCTATAGAAATACACTGAATAGAATTGAATTGCAGACGATCAGATGAATGGGAAATAAGATGAAAGGTTTTCTGTTTATTTTACCATTTCAGGCGTTAATCATCTTGTTCCATTGTGTTAGAGTTACTAACCTGTTTAAATCAAGACCAAACATCCGTATTTAAAGAAGAATCAACTTCCTGTTAATGAAATGTTCTCATTGACCAGCGAAGGTCTGAGCTCCATATTCCAGGAGCGTTTCTGAAACCTATTCTTCAACCAAGTGTTAGAAACCTTTAAGGTCACCACCGTCTCCATGTGATGACATCAGAGCTCACCTTGCAGCTCTGCACCAGCTGCTGCTGTGCAGCCTGGTTCTTGTTGCTGGAGGCGGCGTGCTGGGCGGCAGCGATGGTCTGAGTGGCGGCCGCTGCCGCCTGCTTGGCTGCATTCTGGGAGAGAAGAAAGAAGGCGTTGGTTTGACGCCTGGAAGCGTTTGTTGGTGAAATGCCCCCCCGGTCATTTCCTTCACCTCCAGGTTGTTGATGAGCCGCTTCTTTATGGCATTCTGTGCCGCGGCGTTGGTGGCCATGCGCAGACCTTCTGCAGCTTCTCGCAGTTTCTGCTGTTGCTCCTCGCTGTCGGGGTTGGCGGCCGCACCCTGGAAAAAGACGACAGCTGCTGGTGAGGCGGCGAGCTAACGGACGGCTAGGCTAAAGCAGCGGTCCTGAGGGGGGCGCACCTTAGCGGCCTCCACCATCTTAGCGGTGGCGTCAGCCAGGAGTTTGGCCGCGGAGAGAAGCTTGCGGGAATTCTCCAGGTCAGACTCTCCCTCTGCGTCCATCTTGATGGCATTGACCAGATCAGACGTGGCCTGGGCGAGGATACGAGCCTGGCGCACCATCTCCCCTGGAGAGAACAATGCAAAGATTTCACCGCGCTGCTTTAGGAGCCTTTTGGCTCTGCTGTGTCAAAAATATCAATCTAAACAAGTCATTTTATCTTAAAATAAACAAAAATTTTCTTGGATTGAGGAGGTAAGAGAGACACTTTGCCAATGGAACAACATTTACATTCAAAATAAGTCTAATTTCCAGTGAATATTATCTAATCATCTTATTTTAAGAATAAAAATCCTCATTCCATTGGAAAATTAGCTTATTTACCTACTTAAATTAAGGGGAAATACATTGAATTTAAGAATGTTTTATTATTTCTTGTGTGTTGACAGTGCGGGTTGATAAAGTCACCTTTTCCAGGTTTGATCACTGATGTTTAAACTTTTAAATGTTTCCTGCCTCTGTTTTCAGGACCAATCCTGACCTGCCAGCAGCACATAACCTGCTCCTTTAATGGCCGGGCGGATTGTTCCCTTCGCCTGGCAACCTCTCCAGATCCTCTGCAACATGTTCACCTATAGCGCATCTGTTCACCTATAGCGCCTGGCTTCCTGTGCAGGTTAGTGCTCCTCATCTGGACTCACTAACATCAGCCTGAACAATCCAAGGCAAACGCTCTGAAGGTAAAATTTCAATTAATTGTTAACAATATGGCCTTCCTGAACGTCACTAAAAGTACCTTCAGAACAGAGCAGGTATACACTGCAAAAGCTTTCAAATCTAATGTAGTCAGAAAAAATACAGATTTATGCTATTTAATCACCATAAAAATGTTTCACTCAGTCAGTTTCACCTTGAAGGCCGCACCATTCTCTGCAGGATGGTGTTTGTAGCTTCTTCCATAACAAGCCAGATTCTTTCTCAGGTTTATTATAACATGTTACTGTTTAACCAAAGTGTAATTTGCTTTGACTCTGACTACTTTCCATTGTTGTCAGTAAGGAGGAACGAACGCTGCTCAGATCAGAACAGGGCTGATTATGGTGCAATAAGGACCGAATGATGAACTGATCTCCATTTGCAAAGATGTAATAAAGTGCCGACTAAGTGATCGATGCATCGATCTCCGTTTATTTAACTGGAGTTAATAGTTGAATACTTTTTTCCCACTACACTCAGTCAGTCATTTTTTTCTCAAAATAAGTTTACATTTAATTTAAGACATTTTGACAAATTCTTAGATTGTTTCTGCAGAGTAGAAAGTTTCCATATATGGGAACTTGGTGCCAAAGTGTCCATGTTTGAATAAAATTAGCTAAGAAATCAGTTTGAGAGAAGAACGGTGAAACCCGACCCTTTGTGAAACGATTAAGGGACAGAAAGAGATTCCAAAAACCCAAATCAATTGTTTTCCAGTTCCTAAACGCGCCACAGGTTGGTAGTTCTGCGATTGCATCAGTGACTGAATGTTTCCTCCTTCTGCATCCAAACAATCTGGGCTTCAATCTGGGAGCAGAGAGAGAGGAGGGGGCGGGACTTTAGCAGGAAATGGGAAAAACTAACACTCTGGTGTTGCTTGGTTTGAATTCTGGAAACCTTGGGCGTTCTAACCTCTGTGCCGTGGAGAAACGTCTGCAGCCTTTAGGAAATAAGGACGTCCTCAGAGGGACTAACATGACGAGGCAGCAAACATGTCTATAAACCAATCAAAGGCCGTACGCATCACCTGCAGCA